GGGGCATTCATTTCAGCTGCACGTACTAAAGTAGTGCTCCTGCAGCTCTACAGTTAGACCCAGCTACAGGGGAAAGCAAAACAAAAAAAAGAAAACAAACAAACAAAAAAAAAATCAAAAGCACTCCACTGCCCTGAACAAATTAGGCCTGAACAGAGCAACTGAGCAACAGGATGTCAACACTGATATATGCAAGATCATACATACTGGAAAGGAACAGTTAACTCTCCATACCCTGGAGGATTTAACTGCTCAGACAAAGAAAGAGGAATATCTTTATTGCAGGCATCTCACTATAGAACAGCAGTAAAGGAAAAAACATGTGAAGGCACTAAAGCAGCAGCAGGGAGATGATAATATACCTACTTGTCTGCATGACACACTGCCTTGAATGCAGTGCTCAGTCCTAACTATTCTTTCTCAAAGCAATACACGGAGAGGTCAAAAACAGGTGCCACAGGCATACGGCCAGCTTCCAGATCAGGAAAGACTAAAATTGTCAGTTCAGACATAGGATAAAAAGCAATGGATATAAGGACTGGCAGAACGAGGTCTTTTAATCACAAGAATCTGAACATAGGAAAGCAAGGAGAACCATCAACAGAAAACATATTCAAGAGACGCAAAAAAAAGCAAGACCAAAAGGTAGAATTCTCAGACTTAAAACGGTCATACTCTAGATCCACTGTACCACTCAGTACCTGTTCTGGCAAACACAAAAAAGGATAGAGCACATAAAGGTCGTATAAGCTATTGCCCTCCACAGCCTTAAGTGTTGCCCATACCTCCTTTTCTCCAGTAAAAAGCTTGATTAGTGAGACTTTATGTTAAGAGAGCATAATGCACACATACAGAGAGCAAAGATACTGAAAGAAGAAAGAAAAACATTAAGAAAAAAATTGCTGTAATATCAAGATTTAGTGTAATTCATTGTGCCAAAACTATGTAAAATATCAAAACAGAAGAAAGTTACTGAAGAGTGGATTCTACTGGACCAAAACAACAGAGTCATCCTTAATAAGCACTTTAGAACAGCAGTAAACAGAAGCACTGTATTCAGCTTTCTGGAAAGAGTAGTACTGTGCATCCTGTTCTCCCTACTGCCATTTTGCTCTTCCTGGTATTAAATATTTCCTTTTACATAAAGGTAGTCTCACGTAGCATCTTCCTCCTCTTTTGCTCTCAAGCTCGAAACCACAAGACTGGTAAATGTGAAAAAGTTTTAGAGCACTGATTCGCTGTCTCCTGTTGGTGGAAGTGCTTCTGCAATTCCCTTCTCTCTTAACGCTATGAGGTAACAGAGAAGACAGAGCCTATTGTGCTAGGAGAATCTAAACTGAATAACAAAGAAATGTATTGATATGTTTTTATATAATTGCTCTCAAGCTATGATTTTAAACTGC